TGTTAAATTATTATATTATATATATATATATATATATATATATATTATACATTACATTATATTATGTGAAATTATTATAATTATGTATTAGAGTTATATTATGTGAAATTATTATATATTTCAGAGAATGTTATACACACATGCTAGACCAATCCAATTAGGTTTCACCTCTAGGCTGTGATGCAGCTCGTGCTTCAGACGATCCATTCCGTCCACACGCGCGCGCACACACACACACACACAGACACACACACACGCGCGCACAGTGTCACTCTGCAGCTCCACACACACTGCGCGCACCCTCCGCTTTTACGCGTCCGACATCTGCAGACATCCCGACTCACCATATCAAGCCATCGATGGAGGCAGCGCTCTTAGCGAGACGAGGGGAGCTCTTTTAGTCACAGAGATTTCCCGGTGTTCTGTGAGATCTCCTCATCCTTTTCATGTTGAACAAAATGTGGAACACATGTCCGGTCATAACTGAAGCCTCCGTTGAGAGCTAGGAATCTTAAAGGAAACCCGCAGGCGTCTTTTCTCCCGTTTGCGCACACAGCGGTTTGTATATGCAAACGGTGGTTTACTTCAGGAAGGTAAGAAATATAGTTTGTTGCATAAACATTGTTATGGCAAGTCGTGATGCCTGGACGTCACTTGTTTGAGTGGAACAGCTGAGATGAAGTGAAAGGAGATTTGTTTTCCATTTTGTCATAGCAAGGCTACAAAGTTAAATCTTGTCAATGCAACGCATAGAACGGTTTTAATAGGCGCTGATGCGTTTGACAGCTCTTAATGTGAGAAACACGGTGGTACAGATGGACACAAGTTGTAAACGTTGATATTTTGGGGAATATATCTTACTTTATTGCTTTGGTATATTGACTTCTAAAAGAAAATCAGATAATGTAATGATTATGGATGATTATGAAAGAGAAAGAGACTGTTTGGGTCACTGAAACTGTTGCATCTTTGCAGTTTTCTGTCTTTTGTTCAAGCACATGTACAGTTAGTAACAAATACAAATGATCTGTAACCTTTTAATGTAAAATATTTCTAAATTAACTAGTTGTATTAGTATTTTTTTTCAGTAAGACAGAGTCAGTACAATATCATACCAATGATTGTCAGTTTTAAGGGATCAGAATTTTTTTTGTAATATTCCAGTTTTAGTGCAGTTAATGCCAGAAAATGCATGTTGTGCATAAAATAAAATAAAGAGGTTCTGAAACTGCTGCTTTTTTATTTGTTTAAGAAAGAAAAAGGAGATCTGCATGTTCTGACATCCATTATATCCGCTCACATATCGGCTTACATTAGACTCCTGAACGTAACCTTGAAATGATAGAAGGCCAATGATGAATATTGAATGTGGCAACGAGATAATGCTTGTGTTATTTACTAATTCTATTTAGTTTAAACAAGATGTGCCACTATTCTCCTAGCTTAGGCTTTGGTGAAGTATACCGGAGCTTAAGTTTCTTCTTTACAGACAGGGCACGCAATTTACATCTAATGCTGGCATTTAGTTCTGCTTCCAGATGTACTTTGCAAAACAATTACAGTACAATCTGACATATTCCTAATGGATCTCAAAGGAGGGACATTTCCTAAATAATTATGAGCTGGAATAGTTTCCACTGCATGGAAAAAATGTAATTTCAAGTTGGAAACAACAGGTGTCTGTCTTTCTTCACAGCCATGGAGGGACTCGTCTAAGGAGGACCCAACATAGTCGTCTTTGTCCAGTTATCTTCTGGTTGATTTGTATCTTTACACCTCTTCCTGGCAAGAGAACACACAACCACACAATGGCAGAGAAGACCGAACTTGGGGTTCCAAAACCTGGAGGAAGATCTGCGGCTTCGCTTCCACCTGAGCCTATCGAGATCATCCGGACCAAGGCCCGCTCCAGAAGGGTCCGTCTCAACGTTGGGGGCCTCAACCATGAGGTCTTATGGCAGACCTTGGACCGGCTTCCCAGAACCAGATTAGGCAAGCTCAGAGACTGTAACACCCACGAGTCTCTAATCGAGGTCTGTGATGACTACTGCCTGAACGAGAACGAATACTTCTTTGACAGACACCCTGGTGCGTTCACTTCCATCTTGAATTTTTACAGAACTGGAAAGCTGCACATGATGGAGGAAATGTGCGCTCTGTCTTTTGGGCAAGAGCTTGATTACTGGGGCATTGATGAAATCTACCTGGAGTCGTGCTGCCAGGCTCGTTACCATCAGAAGAAAGAGCAGATGAACGAGGAGCTGAGGAGAGAGGCAGAGACTCTGAGAGAGAGGGAAGGAGAGGGGGAATTTGATAACACCTGCTGCTCAGACAAGAGGAAGAAACTTTGGGATCTTTTGGAGAAGCCAAGTTCCTCAGTTGCTGCTAAGGTAAGGTGCCGTGGTACACAACGTGACAGTCTGGGCCTCCAGTTCGCCAATAACCATTATCATGTAACAACACAAGCTCTTCCTTATTAACGATGAGGTGCAGTTCAACTTCAGTGTGTGTTCTGTTTCATCAGTACATTTGGTTGTTTCAGAGTAGCTCTGTTCCCAAACCTAGTAAGCTACAGGTTGCGTGCTTCTAAAACAGCATCCTAACCATTATAAATTACCAATTTGGAACGCTCTACATTGGCTTACTGCACAAGAAATTCAGCTATACTGTAGAGTTTGATGTTAGCATGCTGCTAAGCTAAAAGCACAATAATCTTTCAGTTTTTTTCTGTTCCCAAACCTAGTAGCTTTTTTGTTTTGACAGCTGCCTTCTAAGAATGGAACCTCATTAGTGACCAGAACTTCATAGGCAGGTTTGAACAGGAGACTATTTTGACACTAGAATATTTGACGTTAGCATGTTGCTAAGCTAAACACACAATAAAGGTGTGAAATCCAGTCATTTCAATAGTACTGCATTTGATTAGGAATTTCGCATAAGGGTGGAAGATTTCCTTACAGATTTAGCTATGGGATTAACTGCACTGACCAACAGTAAACTGCTTGGTTTGAATGTATTTTTTGTGTGAGCTGTGTCAAAATTATTTGGTAAAATATTCCGTTTTTATTTACAGTAAAAAAAAAAGTTACACTGTGTAACTTTTTTTTTTAATAAAAAATAACAATCCTGTTAATGAGAGAGACAGCAAAAAATGTGTCTTCCAAACAATGGGCCTCATTCATGAAACATTCGTAAATATATGAGTAAATTCTAAATAATTTACACGTAAAACGGACCTTCTTGAAAACTCTCCTCCGGATTCACAAATACTTTGTAAAGGTCAGATTTGATAGTTAAATGTGTGTATGTTAATGAATTCCAATCATTCGTAAATAGGGCGTGCATGCACGCTCATTCACAATTAGCATATTCCCCGCCTATGAATTACAGCTACGCAAATTACGTATCTAGGAATGGTGTGGAATCCTTTGACTCACTTCTCAGGTTTGGTAAGTTATATAGCATAAATGCATAAGAGACTAATAGGCTATATGCCTAACAATAAATTAATAAATTAACGTGTGTCCACCAGAGCGTTTTTAGCCAGCTGACATAATGCCTGGTGCTCTTCTGAAAACGACCATCTGGTGTTGCTTGAGAGAGCTTTGGAGGCACTGCATTTTTCTGGAGTGACGCGTCGTTTGCTATGATTTGGAATATTCACAGCAGTAACATGTTACGAGTATCTTATTTTGAAGAATATTACTGAATATAAAAATGCAATAACCAGCAATATTAACTTCTCCATTGTTGTGTTGTAAAAGTATGATCATTGTTGGTCAATGTAATGTTTGTCCCGTCCCTCCTTCACTGTGATTGGACGGCTGTGTAAAAAGGGACAGTGACGAGCTCTGCATTTTACCCAAAGTTAAGTATAAAACGAAAAAAGACAGGGCAAATGAACTCGTTAAATATCATTCTAATATAGTTCATAAAAATGCAGTGTCATCAGTTTGTCTAAAAGAATACAGAACGTTTGAATGTTTTATGCACCATTTACACATGGTAGGGAGCAGGTGTAAATGGCTTTCGTACCAACTAACATTTTCAAAATACGAACATTTTCATGAATCCGAAGATTTACGTCAGAGCGACTTTCCGAATGATTTACACAAAAAATCGTTCTGCTCGTGTTTCATGAATGAGGCCCAATGTCTTTACCCAAATACACTTTGATAAACCTCTGGTAATGATGTTTTGAGGAAGATTGTGTATTGTTTTTAAATTATACGTTCATTATACGTTTGTATATGTATATATGCACATTATTTTTATATGTGCATATATTTGTTTATTTTTCTCACTTTGTCTGCCATCTTAGATATTGGAAGTTACAATAAATGCAGTGCATTCTGGGATTGCCTTCATCAAGAAGGTCAAACGCTATGCTTTTGGTTACAATTGTGCAACAACAGCACCTTACTTAAATGGTCTCGCTAAGTTTTGGAACAGAGCACTTATATCTGGATATTATTATTATATTGCTCCAGTGGTAACAGAAAGATCTAAATTGATCATATTTATGCCTACTATAAAAATGCTGTGCAAACATGTTGTTTTGCAAATTGGGTGTAATACTAATTTCAGTAGCAGGGAAATAACTTTTTTTGTAAGTGTAATAAGTACAGTGGGTGCAAAAAATGCGTTAAGTTTTGATGCTGCGAAGGTTTTCGTCTGTGGTGGAAGAGCTTGTTTTGCTGTTACGGATCACAGACAGTTGGCACCAGTTGGCAGTTAGCTGTCGTATGCAATGTGCGCAAGAGCAGCTCTGCTCGTTGAGTCAGAGTGACTATGTATGTCACATTAAAACTTGTTATGTATGAACATAATCATACATAAAATGCATGGTATTTAGTTTTTGCTGAATTTTTGAATGCTGTTGTTTGTTTGTACATGTAAGAAGGCCATGTTCCTTTCATCTCACACAATGCTACATCTATCCGATTACATTCATTTGATCATTCATTGTACTTGCTCACAATGCAGAGAGAACCATTGGTTGTATGTCCCGTGAAGCTTCTAATGTGTGCCTGTATCTATGGGCGTACAGTGCACTCTAAGTCATCCATTGGCTGGGGGGAACGCAGATGAAATTTAATCACTGATCATTTACGAGGAGTATCCAGCATAGAGCTCAGCGCAGATAAGGATTATATTTCACATCTGAGATAGAGTATCATAAAAACATCCCCTTAAAGTATGACAAAACTACATGGATGTGAGACATAATGGAAATATAGAGTTGTTAGCTTAACCATTTTGGACGTCCTACAGTGTGTGTTGTTTTTATCACAAATGCAGTGTCATCTGTTTTGTTGGACATTTCCTCCACCTATATGGGAATCATGGCTGATTCAATTTCAGCCTGCCTCCACCCACTTAATTTATGATACAGGCTCATGATGGAAAGAGCAGGAAGATTGTGGTAATATAGAAGGCATCGGCAGTTTCCTGCACTGGGTGTGGATTTTAAGAGCTCTGACACTCACTGTGGTCTGGGGACACTGTGGTAATGCCTTGATTTTACCTTACAGGCAGGTGAGGGAGAGTCATTTGTGTTTGTCAGTGCTCTGTTAAGGCTTTCTAAACAGCATGCAAAGGCACAAAGAGGAAATTACATGCTTGGAGTGTATAGTGTGCGCGTTTGTGTTCCCAAATGTACGAACATCAGCTTGCTCATAGATCTTTGCCTTAGAGCCTCATGCAGTTTGAATGAGGGAGGCCTCTTTATATTCACAGGAAATCCCTCATATCAAAATATGTGCATGGTGTGTGGAGAAACCAATTTAAAGCTGGAGAATGTCATTTTTGTGTCACCAAACGGGCGCGTTTCCCAAAATCATTGTTAGCTAACTATGGTCATAAGTTCCATTGAACAAGATTGGAACTTGCGACCATAGTTGCTTTTGGGAAACACGCCCCAGAATGATTGTGGCAAACATTGGTGAAATTTAATTAATTAAATTTATTTTCAGTCAGTTTGTCTTTTCAGTATACTGTAATTTAGATGTGTTAATTTTAATTATACTTATTTTGCAGTTTAGTGTTAGTATTTTAGGGCTGCCAAAGTTAATGTGCTAACTGGTAGAATTTTAAAATGTTACATTTCTCACTCTAGTGTTATCGTTATTTAGTGGTATTTTCATGTTTAATGCGTTCAAGTACAATGTATCAAAAGCTAAAAATAACCACATTAAAATTAATTTGTAAAAATTTTAATTTTTAGCAATTTTAGCATTTTTGCGATCCTGAAAATGTACTGTATTTGTTTCCCAGTTATGTTTAGTTATTATTTTTTATTTATGGTTTTTAATTTTATGTCAGTTACTTGTAAACCTTTAATGACAGACATGCTGTGAGCTACGAGCTTGTTAATCGATGATATATGCCTTTGTTGATGCCACCAGCCTTATTTTATTTTTTAAATAATACCATGAAAAAAAGAAATTTACATCAGTCAGAGAATCATGACTAATGTAAAATAACTACTTAATGAGCTACTTAAATATTTTCATATACATGCATATTTTGCAATAAACATGAAATATACTGTTTTTAGAGTATGTACACAATCAAGTTTTATATTTCTTAATAATTTCTAATTTGATTGTCATTTGAAACGCTTCATAGTAGGGCTGGGTATCGTTCAAAAATTTCCGATATCGATACCGATACCTTGACTTCGATACCTGTTCCTGAATGATACTTTTTTCGATACCAATTTTATGAAATAAATTTTAACAAGATTACATTATCTAAAAAAAAAAAAACCTTTGGTTTTATTTTTCAGCTTGTTGATGTTTATACAAACTCAGACTCGTCTCCTGAGCCACTGCACAAAGGAACAAAATGTAACCAACACAATAAATCAGTGCAAATAGTTTTAATAAAGCTCAAATAATCTTCAGTTTACACATCTGTTAGGCTACATTTACACTAGTGCGTGTTCGTTTTAAAATGCATAGCTCAGACAGAATCATGATTTCTATTTATTTTCCACTGATTTACTGATGAGCATTAGCAGCTTCCAGCGCTGTCTGCCTGTGTTCTCTCTTCCATGATCGCTGCTCTGACTCAGAGTCAGAGGTAATAACATATTTAATTTCAGCAACATTACATGGCCAAAACACACATTAGACGGCAATCGGAAGTTATTACAAACACTCGATGGTGGTTTAAAGTGAGTTTTAAAAGCGGAGTTCTTATGTAGCATGATGCTACAGTTTGCATGAATGGTTACATAACACGCGCTTTCGGTC